AGAGAGAGAGAGAGAGAGAGAGAGAGAGAGAGAGAGAGAGAGAGAGAGAGAGAGAGAGAGAGAGAGAGAGAGAGAGAGCCCCACCATAAGCAGGCTGCAACTTTGGCTTTGAGGGTTTGGTAAGAAGAGTCACTGCGCTAACCTGCGCCGTGGATTAGGGCAGTGGTGGTTTGCGCCATCGCTGCGCTTGGTCGTCCTGGTGTTCGCCTGGTGCTTCTGCCCGGGCGTAGGTGGTTTTTCCACGTGGCATCTCAGGAGGCGGCACGTCGGCGCGAGGGATGAAAGTTTTGATCGAAGACGCAGCGCGTTTGTTTTGGGGGCAGCTACGATAACACAACAGACATAACAATTACATCAGGAATAGCGACAACAATGGCATCAACCACAACCACATTAACAACAACGATGGCAAAGGAGGAGGCGATCAGGCGGGACGTGGGGCTGCAGGGCATCAATTGTGACCTGCGGCATCCTGCGGGGAATGCGAAGATAGCTGTTTCCTCGCCCGACGAGGAGGAAGCAGCGCTGGAGATGGTGAGAATGTATAAACGACAGATGGAAGAGATTCATGCGGTGCTGACTCAACATCGCCACAACCTGTCAGCGGAACTTCTGGTGGAGGGAGAGGAGATGTTCATCGGATGGGAGGAGGAGCTCCATGAAAATCTCTCTCTCCAACGGTTGGGCTGCACTGAAAGAGCACAAGTGACGGCTGGGCTGCGTGATTGCTCTGAAGGAGGGATTTTTCTTGAGCTTCGGGCGGGGCTGCATGCGAATACACGAATTGATGACTTGAAACGGTGCTACGTGGAACTTGAGGAGGGGCAAGTGCTTTGCGCCAAGTCGCAGGACCGCTTCTATGAAGATGCCGATGATATCACGGAAGATGTAAACGATGAGAGCCTGATTGCCTGTATTTCAGCTACTTCCGCCAACAAAGATGCTGCAATTGGCAACGATGAGAATATTGATGACGACAACAATGACAACAACAACAACAATGACGATAATCATAACGGCGATGTTGGGGCTCTACATGAAGATGATGAGGACAACAACACCAATAATAACATTGATGATGACATCAACAACAACAACAACAACAACAACAACAACAACGACAATTGCAAAACCAACAACAATGACAAAGATAACGGCGAGGATGGCCATCGATGACAACGATAACAATAAGCCAAACAACGACGGTGAGGAGAGTGCTCAGCGTGGGGATGATTGTCATACAGGCCAACACAGTTACTGATGATAACATCGTGGGAAGGGAAGAAAATAACTGCATGCCCGGCCGCGGCCGGGGGGGGGAAATCGCCTGCGGCCTCGGCCAACGGCCAAATCGGCCAGGTTCGGCCTCCGCTGACCAGCCGAGTTTGGTGCAGGATTTTTCTTTTTTCATTGGGGGGCATTGTTGTTTTCTATTGCGTAACAAAAAATAAAAACAGAAAAAAAAAAAGAAAAAAAAAACTCTTCGAAACCCCGTGCAAGTATGTGTGTGTGTGTGTGTGTGTGTGTGTGTGTGTGTGTGTGTGTGTG